GGGGGGGGGGGGGACATGAGAGACAAAAAAACAAATGGCACAATTTTATCTGAGCTTTCAGATCAAACTATCAAACGCAAAGAACTACTGTACTTGCAGGTGGGGCATAAGGTTCACAATTGCAAACGTACTCCTTTGCCTAAAACAATTTAACTATCTCTACATATAATGAAAGCAGAAAGAAACAAAGTCACATCTATATAATGGCACAAGCATACCAGGAAAAAAAAAGAATACTATGGAGACATTTACCCAGCGTTTGATGATCAAAAAACCTAAAGTAAAACTTTTATATTTAGATACTTCTGTGTCCACCTTAAAGCATATTGTGTGTGAAAAGACTGAAGTACTCTGGAAATATGCCGTGTACAAAATACCTCCCCATATAAACAACATTCACACAAGGCACTTCATTCAGTAAGAAAAGAGAATCACAGTCCTTTCTACTACCAGAAACTGCCTGCATAGCAACAATACGAGGACAAAATCTTTCCAGACTTTTGTGTGGTACCACAAAAGGAGTTTCAGAAAAAAAAAGTTGTTGGGGGATTTTTTTGGTTTTAAAACAAGCAGAATAGTAAAACTTTGTTGGTTTGAAAATAAAGACCAGAGTTCATTCCTCTTAGCATTTTGTCCCCAATATTATCAGCTTAGGACGCTCTGTACACTTTCTGGTGTGTTTTTTTGTCAAACACAGTGCTTCTGGGATATTTAGTGTTTGGTTTTTTCTGATGGCACTCAGAAGGCAGCCAGTCACCAGGTGATGAGGAGAGAAGGGTTTTCGTGAATGTTTCCACAGTGAGACTCCAAGGCGTCCCCTTGGGGCAGAGACAAGAGGGGCGCGTGTGGGAGGATCTGCCTGAGTCTGAGAGATGTGGCTGTAGAAAGGAGCGGAGATCAACAGAGACGAGGATGGAGAGCGCGGGCGGCGCTGTGGTGTGTCCTGCTACCTGCCTCTCAGATTCTGCAGGACTCCGTAAACCTCTTCTTCTTTGCTGAGTCCCTCAAAGAAAGGCAGCAGGTCCAGGAGCTCTGTGTCATTCATATCGTCAAACCAGGATTGGACAGGGACCTTGGGAGACGGGGAAACCACCTGCAGTTAGCTTTTATTTAATACCAAGTGGCATCACCAAAGCCCCTTTTACACTGGACCCACAAACACCCACTAACATCTGGCTATTGTCTTTCATCTGGTTCTCATTCCCAGGAATTTATCGGCCCCAGCTCAATGGTTCCTGGGTGGACATGCAAATCTTTGCCCCTTTCCTTGCGCATAGAAGTTCTACATTATTTATTGTTTTTTTACAGTCTATGGGAACAACGGGCAATGACGAGTTTGTTCTTTATATCGAGCAAAATGCAACGCTGGCACTAGCGAGGTGAGAGAGCTTGGGACAGATTAAACAATACCAGCACCATGTTTTCCTTATCCTCATTAAAACTATGTTGACTACATTTGTGAGTATATTTAAAGTCATGTTAAGAAAAGTAAAATACAAAATGTATTTAAGATAATGGACTATATATCAAAGTAGCAAACAATGGGAGCCTAAAACTCGTTAGTGGCAAGGTTGTTATAGAACAGAAGCAGCCTCTTACTGTGACAAATATATTAGTGGTTTAGGAACTCACAGCATTTTCGGGGTGGAAAATGTAAGAGGCGGGTGAATTGTCAACAATGATGACGTTGCTGAGCTCTCGTCCCAGCCGGCTGAGGTCTTTGACATAGTTCCCTCTGTGAAAAACGCAGGATTCTCTAAAGAGTCGTGCTCGAAACACGCCCCACTGATCCAGCAGGTCTGCCACAGGATCTGCATACTGTCGAAGTCAAACACACACAGAGCCACGTTACATTGCTATGAAAACAAATATTAGACATGGATTTCACAACTATAAAAACCGCAGATAATAAATCTAATTGTATGTTGTGATGCAAATCTTTGTGGTCATATGTCTGATCTAGAGGGCTAAAAAACCACTTGCAAATACTACACAGTTATTCCAAAAGGAAGCAAAGCAGGTCACCCTTCACAGCGGTGTTTACCTGACAGGAGAGATGCCTCAGGAAAACTCTACTCTACGACAGAACAAGCAAAACTGACACCTAGCTTTTAACGCAGCATGAGGAACATCTGACACTACCGAAACATCAGGCCCTTAACCCAGTAATTTCTGTCATTCATCAAACTTACCCATGGCATTATTGGCTTAGATGCAAAAGACACAGATGGAGAGCGAAGCAGAGGAAGTGTGAACATTCAGACAGCAAGAGCAGATGAAAAATAAATACAGCGCAAAACAGGAACTAGAAAATGTTGTTCCATGGCAGTCGCTGCCTCTTAACCAAAACATGTCAGAATAGAAAACATGTCTGCGTCTCAACACACCTTGGCAAGACTGGCTGTAAAAAGCACACATTCAAATAGCTCTCCCATCTTTTGAAGAAACTCGTCCACATGGGGTCGTTTCAGCACATACACCTGAGAGACACACAGCAGATTTAAGACCAGGTTAGGAAAAAAAACAATATATGATGTAACATGAGTGTCAGACAAACACACCACTCAAAGTATATAATGTGAGAGGAGCAACATTTATTATAACCGTCAGTGATTCATAGCAGCATTAAGACAGTGCAGTGCTACGTACAAGAACACAGGATTTCTTGAATTATCAAAAATCTTGGTGAAGAAGATATCAAAGATATCGTCCTCACTCACGGTTTAGATGTCCTCCTCTTTCTGTCCAGCGGCTGCCACCCAGTGCAAGTAATCATGAATAGGCCTACCAGGATACAAACAGCCTATCCTGGATTACTTGAACTAGATCACAGCCATTCTCTTCAGGATCTTCACATAAATGGAACTCTTGCCCCTAATTAAAAAGGTATACTTGATTAAAGATGTCTTTTTATTGTGTGTGTACAATACCTGATGAACGGTACCATCGATCTCCACTGGAACAATAAAATCAGCATTGCTGATAGGCTGTGTGAAGAAACACAATAGCATATCAGGGTCATTCAAAACTGGTGTAGTGCCACAACTGATCAGCAGAGGTCATGCTAGGAACACTGAAACTTTGCAATTCATTATAATTTCATGTAACAGTATACTATATAGCTACACTACTAGCACTACTAACAATGATGGTTAGTCTCTCATCTATAATTGTTAAGCACTTACTTGTCAATTATCATTTGTGCATAACAATGAGTTCAACAAGCAGTAGTATAACTGAAACTGTATCTATTACTCACAATATTTGTTTTTTGCATTATTGTTAATTTTATTACAATATTTAACATAATTACCATGCACTAATTGTGTGTAAACTAGATTAATTAAGATTTTAAAGACAAGTTTATTAACAAGTTTACTGTAGCACATCATGTCCCGCACCATCCAGGTTGTGATTGGTCGGTTCACAAAGACATCGACTTCATGAAAAGTTCAAAATGTTTCAACAAAAGATCTAATATAACTAAATATGCAGCCAACCAAACCCTGCTTATATTATCCCTACTGTATCGCTAGTTTCTGCTGCAAAACCTCAACTAACAGATGAACTTTATTGAGGATGTTAAGGAGGAGAAGGATGTGGGCTGGTGCATAATCAAAGTGATTTCTCACAGTGCTCCTGATGGTCAGTAGGACTATGGAGCACAGAGCAGGTCGCATATATATATTTGTGCAATTTAAACTTTTATTAGGTTTCCTGGTGTGCGGCAAGCAGATAATACACAACAGTCAAACAAATAGAATGCATACATTAATACATTTTTTATTAAATTCATTATTTTCCAAATCCCTCCTCATCTCCTTCCTTCTGCAACCTCTTAAGTAACAGAACTAAACAGGCAACAAGGTGGTCGTCCCCGAAATTTCTATATGTGACCACTGTATTACCTGCAGCTGGTTTCCAACATCAGCCACCTTATTACCATCCTATTTTTTTGTGCACAATCAGGACTGTAATATTGCCCCTGCTGTTACTGCATCACATCCTCCACCACCTGCTGCTCTCCTGACTTTGTTTACACTGTGATCTAAATGGATTTGACACCGCTTTGACTTCTTGCAGGTTATTGGTTGAGATTTAGATATAAAAGGTAAAGATAACGTCAGATATATAGAATATGTATTATTCTCACTGCAAGGTATATATACACACAGTATGCTTTACAATTATGTAGGTAAATTCTAAAATTAAAATGTACTTCTGTTTTCAGGGTAGCTAAAGTTAGGATTTTTTAGATTTAGACTGTCACACCAACTGGTGACTATATCTTTCAAACATAGAAGGCCTTAACCAGCTCACACACTGACAGCTGACAACTGCAGAACTGTGCACACCATCAACAGTAAACCTCTGAGTTTTAGTCTCTTCTTACCTTGAATGAGCTGTGGACAAGTGTTTCGTCCAAGTCAATCACCACACACTTTTTTCCATAGTCAGATATTATCATCTCTGGTAGGAGATATTTGGCTGGTGGCTGGGGGGGACAAGGCAGATAGTGTCAGATACATGGCGAGAGACAGAGTATTTGAGAGAGAAAGACGGTGAGAGAGAGATAAAGAACATATACTTTGCATAAATTACTGTGCCAGGCTGAGCAGAAAAGCCAACACCATGTTAGGAAGAGCCAACCCATCTCCATGGGTGACAATGCGGCTGACATAAAGCGATGTCTGGAATTGCATTTAATGGACCTATTGCTTCAAATAACACCCTATGGAATTATTCAACAGCAGACATTTCCCTGCTATAGCCACCTACTCAGAGAAAGTATCGCTGTCTTAAATCCCCCTAGATTCTCAAATCTATGGAGATAGATAAAACTTTTCACATATTCTCACAGACAAAGGCCATGCAAAGGTTAGCTACTGCTGCTGCTGCTGTAGAGTACTGTTAGTTTCATTGAAATCACTCAAACTTAAACCATATGAAAATGCCATTAAACGTCAAAGTCGTGTGTAAACGTGAAAGGATGAAATCATGCAGGAAGTTTGCTCCAGTACAGGAACAGTGCTCTACTAAAAAAATCCATTCACTTTTGATGGATCTTAAGACTTCACGTAGTCACTGATGGGTGATTTGAGCGCTATGTTGGTCAGACCACCAGATAACCAGATCACGGGAGTTCCTTCATTTAGTGATGGGATGAATTAGTTTCACCCATTAGAGCTGAACTCTCACTAATATTATTCAATTGCATGGATAAGTAGTACAATTAATGGATTTACTTGTTGCCTGGAAGCACCTGAGGAAACTGGTTTATACTTTAACTTGTTAGACAGTTAGTCTCACAGTATTTTCAAAAGCATACAAACCACCAAGTGTCACTCATGCAGATCAGGCACTGAGGCGCCATTTAAACCCATAGGTGCATATACACCTTCCACACAGCCAGAGCTACGATCGGCTGAAAATGAACCGCAGTACGGTAGAAGAGCAATAGCTCTCTGAGGAGAACTGGAGCCCACACAGACAGGATGTGCCAGCACCAGCCCACTCAGCCTGCATGCAAAGGAAAAGACAAAAAAAAGGCAATACATACACTAGGGACAGGGATGACCTCGACCTGGTCACACTACAACACAAGAGATAGACACACACAGACACATACAAAAACAGGGTGAGGGGAAGGAAGGAGAACAAAAAAAAGAGGCTAAAAAAAGTCCCCCAGAGATAAAGAGGGACACAATGGAATAGCATGTGTTTAATGGAGGAGCAGCCCACCTTGGGAGGCGATCCGTTCTCCTCAACAGGTGGAGGCAGGGAGCTGGTGTTGGTGGTGGCTGGCGGTTCCACATTGTAGTTGCGGAAGCAGCAGAAGAATGTGCTGAAGATGCCCCGGCTCCTCTGCTTCTTTAGGCTGCTGTTCGACTGGGACGCTGTCAAAACAACAGGAGGGGGTGGGAGAGCAGAGGGTGAACAAGTGGATATGCAAATCTAACATTCTGTCATAAAAATGGAGCGGGCTGAAGCTAGGAAGCGTTTCTGCTTGGTTATTTGCATGCTGAGTGGGGATGCCGCTGGAATAACTGGGAACAAACTGTTATATGTTCATTACAATTTGCACAAGTGGCCACAGCGGTGTGAGCTACACTGAATTACAAAAATAGGTGAGGCCTTGACAGTGTAATTAAATGGCATTAGTGTTGGTTTTGTTGGCCCGGCCTGGCAGAACCACTGATCAGAAAATAACTTAGCTGGCTGGGTGACTTCATCAGTCACACATAGCGACAGCTCAGAGCGTGCTCTGCTCTGATTGCAAATCGCCTCTCATTCCAGGACTACAGAGCGGGGCCTAAATCAGACACTGAGCTTTTATTAATAGTGACAAGTTAGACACTGCTCCCTCCACCCTCCTCCTTTTTGCCCTGTCGTGGATCCCGTCACCGGATTGGCCTAGAAGTCACCATTTTGAAGGCTTGCTTATGATTCCCCTCCCATATTTCAGCTGGCAGGTGAGTGACTGAAGCAGCCTGGACATGCACAAGAGACGACGGGAGAAGGAGGTGGGAGGCCCTCAGCCCCCGCAGAGCCTATACAAGGCTGCATTCCTCTCCACCCATTAGTCTCCCCCCTGCTCACCCCTCGGCTCACACAAGCAGAATGCTTTTGCAACTGAAGACCAGCGAAGAGCAAATAGCATTATGTCATGTCTTTTGGCTTCTTGATATTGTGCCACTTTGTGCTCCTGACCTTAAACAAATACCCAGCAGACATTTGTCATAGGAAACACTGAACACACTGAGGAACACCTATCGCAAAGGCCTTCAAACAAGCTAGGGCACAATGTATTAGTTAGGACGACAAACTTACAAATACAACAACTATTTTTACGTCAATCCAGCTTCCTTGAGTGTTTTTCCAACTAAACAGTCCTGCGTGCCACTGTACCCTGAGACCACAGAAGCAGCCGATGCCTCATATCGTGTCATGAAAGGGCAGAATGTGTAGCACTATTGTTTTAGGAAGATTACTTCAATTCTGTATTCCACAGCTAAAAATACTGGTGCGTGCAGGAAAGGTATCAGACACTGACAGAGTAACAGCATGTCACGGCTACATGAAACACTTTCTGCCTTCCCTGATCTCTGTCATTTCCCTCTATCACTGGCTTCCAGTCACATTAATTACAGCCTGCCACGCTAGGGCACGCAGTGCTGGGTACGACTATATCTTATCACATAAGCTCGTTCGCTCGAAGACAAGTTAAGTACAATACATCCATCCATCAACAAGGAAACAACATTAGAAGAGTCGGACTATTTTAAGTAACTTAAAATCCTGCACACATGGAACTACTCAGAGAAGCAATACCGATGGAGTAGTACAACTCCAAAGTATTTGACTATTACTCAATATGTTTGTTTTTGGTTGTGTTATAGTTCATTTTATTACAATATTTTAGACAGAAAAAGTTAGTTTAGTTTAGTGTAGAAAAATTGGTTACTGATGATTACTGAAGATTTATTTTTATTTTTATTTTTTTAAAGGTAAGTTTATCTGTTGAACAATTGTTTTGTTTATTTATACTGACCGATGGATACACCTTTTCAGAGTAGTTGAGTATAGTAATATAAAGAATGAGCAAAATTAACAGCTGTTTTGGTGAACAGAGTGAAACTGGGTCCCTTCCATTTAATTCTTTTAAATGTAAGTAATGTAAGCAAAATAAATCCCATATTCCAAAACAAAAAGTGGCATACTTCTGACAAAGAGGAATAAAACAGGACACACAAGGTGCCTGCTACAGGGTTCAGAGTATAAAAGGCCATCAGACCCAGTCTACTGGAAAATACCAAACTTTTACACAACACTGCAACAACCACCAAATACCAAACTAATAAACTGGTTTAGAGATTTGTTTGGAAATATCACCGGAGCACAGAATGCGTTATTTTAGGAATTCAGAACTCAGAAGAAAATATAACCGAACTGTTCCCTATGATCCCCTAGATTAAGTTAGAGAGCAATGCTGCAAGATGATCATATCTGCCATAATAAACATGGTTTCAATTCAAAAATAACCTAATCAGTACCACACAACTTCCTTTATTAAACTGGACTTTGTCATTTCAGCTCTACATTACTGTAAAACTGGGACAGTGGGGCAGTTGTCAGCTTCCTGTGACTCATCACTACAACCGGCTGATTCCTGCACAAAGACCCTCAGAAAACTGCCAAGATTACAGAGTCATGCACAGAGCACAACTGTGCCTCAAACACACAGCGCCCACCTGGGTGGATGGAGGGTAGTCAAACACTATAAGAGGGTACAGTCTGTTTAATTAATAAAGAGGTATTTCTTCACATCTTCCCCAGAACACATCCCAAGGTTTCATTACCAAACATGTATTGAACCCAGCCTCTTGGTCTTACAGTATATCCAGCACTAGGCTGTCCACATGCAAACACACTATGAATCATTTGTCAGTAGGTGTGACAAATGGGGTCCGACCAAGAAAAGCCACCTCTTTCTTCACCCAGGAGGAGTGGATGTTGAGACACACGAAATATGCAGTGCAAAATAAAAGCCTTGTGTCTGGTCTGCTGCAGGTGGTACACTGAGCATGTGCCTAAATAATACTACAAACCTGTCAGTGGACTGGCTTTCCACATATATCCACTACGTCAAATGTAAACACAGTACTCTCACAGGCACTAGGCCTTTACCCCTTTAGTCTACAGAAATAAATTAACTCCCACTGGCATTACACATAAAGCATATTTGCATCCAAAGAGTAGAGAGGACCAAATAAGACACTGTTCTAAGAGTGTTTTATTGACAGCATGGAAAAAGGTTGCTTTGGAAAGTCACACATAAAGAGGCAACCACTTTAATCCCCTCAAAACACAACATGTTCACACGTTTGAGGAATCTTTGTGAACGCACTCTGGCTACAACACAAGCAGCTTTCATAAGTGGCCTCAGCTCTGAAGTGTGACAGCTTCCAGCATGAACAGATCTTTACCTCAGCAAACTATGTCAAGTTCCAATAACTTAAAGGGCTCACTATATAATCACAATCTAAGCAAAAAGCTTGTTCCACCACCAAAAACCAAAACACTGAACCTGCCATAGTTCCCAATTTTATTTACACATCTTTTGATTCACTTATTTTACTAGAGACAACAACTCAAACTTGTTACCAGACATTCATAACATATATTCATTAAAAATGGGAGACCATTAAAGGAAAACATGCAAACGTTACACACAGAAAGGCCACACCATTGGATTCAAACATCATAATCAAGAATGCAACAAGTCTTTTAATAAAACACCATGTAATGTATTTTTGTCTCATCTTTAAAAAATGGCTTTTAAAATAAATCAAACATTCTCCTCTGATTTGCCTGTGCTGGCCAGATCTTAAAAGGGAAACTGTGGCCAAGTTTGTATCATTACAATGTGGGGAGTATATGCAAATGAACACAGTTCATCTCCCCATGCCCCCAAGGTTCCCTACTCATTTGCCACAAAAAGTCAGTCTTTGGAGGCAGGCATACAAAGAATTAGAAAGTACAATCTGTCTGTCTGGTAACAGAGAAATAAGTGAGGAGTTTTGGGTGCAGGCAACATGGAGGGAAGTTAAACATTGTTCATTTGCATATACTACCCACACTGTAATGATACAAAGCTGGTTGAAAATCAGCAAAGTTTCCCTTTAACAAAAGGTCACAGTACATCCAGTCAGTTAAATTGACGTTCAACTGAACATGTGCTCATTTCGACAGAGTAATCCATGCTGAACTTAGTTGGCAGCTGCAGGTTTTTCATTTGCAAGTCAAACGTTTGAAATAAGTCTGAATATACTTAACATGCATGAGGTCAAATAGGGAACTCTTGTCTGTAACAGTCAATAACTAATATGGTAGAAATTACAGTGGAAGTTATGGAACACCTGCAATGCTCAACGTATACCACAACACATAAATCAAGCCTGAGGAGCGCCTTGGATTCAGTGACGACAGAGCAGGGTGAAGGGATCCTGTAAGAGCCGCCCATTCATGTCACAAACTCATTATGGTCCTAGTGCAAAGGTCTGAGTGGAGTGGTGACTTTAAATAGTTGAAACACCCCTTCAGCAAGACCCTCCGAAATCCCAACAAGAACAAAAACTGTTCAATAAGATCGCAGCCCGTATCGTATTCATTTAAAAATCAAGTTTCAAAACTAAAGCCTAGTATGAAGTAGAATGAAAAAAAAAAGGATCATTGTCATCTTTGCAAGTAGTTATACTTGGCCTCGAGGTCAGCGGTGCTCTGGCCAACAGGGCAGCGATTCTATATTTAGGCTGCTACTTGGCAGCCGAACCAGTGTCAAAGGCAGGCACATGTCGTAAGACTGCCAGCAGAGGAACACTGAGAGCAAAGGTGGTCAATTTGTGTCCAGACAGTTTGGAGCCTGTTCAAGCAATGGAAGACTACCTGTCAAATTCCTCTAGGACAGCTGCTGGGATGGGCTAAATGTTTAGTGATTTACAATAGATGAGGGAGAGTAAAATCATCAGTGGCTGCCTATACAATAAACTCAGAGAATAAACCTAAAAATCCTGCTGCATCAGAAAAAATGTGCTACCTTTTCAATACAATCTTGTCAGATTCTGGTTCATAACGCAGCTGATGACTATGAGCCTCACACTCCCAGTTTCCAGAACCATTGGAAGAACATTCATGGCCCTACTATTCCTATAATGATGGTAATATTTGACTTGGCCCCAGGGAAGAATTCTGTGTGACTCATGTTTAAGAGAAAATGCAAGAGGTAGGAAACAAACAACATCACTGCTCTACTTCATCCTCTAACTCAACTGTGTCCTGTGTAACAGACAACTCTTACTCATGTGTACGTTAGGTGTGATTTTCATGAATAAACAGCCTTCTGCACAACAGTGAACTCCCCCTGTGTGAGTGTGTGCGCTGCTTCTCTGTTGGTAAACAATCATATTAAATGCAGCCAGAATGAGAGTACAAGTTACAAGTATGCCTGCTGTCTCTGAATTAGATGTGCTAAATTGTTCTTACACAATGTAGGGAATGAAAATACTTCACTGATACCTGACCTACATTAAAGTTAGAAGACCTACAGTGCGTCCTTACTTAGCACTACACAACAAATCCTGAGCTCAAGACAATAAAAAATATTTCACTGCACGCTTAAATGATCAAATGAAATGATCAACCCATAAATTGGTTGATCTTTTAATAAATCGTGTAGAAAGAAAAACCCCCATCACAAGCCTAAAATGATGCCTCACATTTGCTTACATTCTCTGACCAACACCCAAAAGACCAAAGGGAAAAAAAGTCCGTATCAACAAAGAAAAGAAAGAAAGGAAAGCAAAAGACAATCTGCTTTTATAAACCACAGCCAGCATTGTTTGACATTTTAACTGGAAAGTTTCTTAAACCATTAAATTAATTTGAACCACTCGCAGATGAATTTTCCTATCAACTAACCACTTATTGACTCATCATTTCAGCACCACTCATACCCAGTGACCCTAAATGACTTCACTGTCACCTCACCCAGCACACCAACACAGCCTCCAATCACCAAATAAATGCACTTATATCTGCGTACGTTTTAGTGCCAAACATTCAGATTGGGCCCAATCCCAACCTGCAATGATACTCTCCCTGACTCCCACATACCTGCATTATAATCTCACATAGAACTCATAGTAGTTACTGAGGGACACCTTTGTACCCTCAGAGGTGAATGCATTGTTGTGTTTGAAAGACTGAAGTTCTCATATTACTAACAGTCCCACAAGTGAGGTTTGAGGTTTGAGGTGTGATACTGATACACGTCCCATGGGCCTGGGTGACCCGGGAAGTGTGGAGAGTGGCCCCGGGAATGGGAGTGAATGGACATCAGCATCCACGGTCTTTAAGGAGAGATTTAACCTCCACTGCCGATCATCCAAAAGACTGAGTGGAGAAATAAAGAGCAATTACAGATGGAGAGCAAGTGAAAATGAAGGCACACAGAACCATTTTGACCCTGAGATCCCATCTACGTGGGCGGGCACACAACACAAGATACACAAGGTAGTCATCGGAGATAAGGCAGCTTCATTGATTACTACATACGCAAAACAGGTAAAAGCACAGCGATGTAAATCTGTGCATCCTACGAGGGGACCACGGGCTTTACCACACAGTCCATGTCTTTGTGCTAATTCACTGGACATTTCACATCCAACATTACTGACAGCAGACAGCTCGCATCTGTCCGCGGGCATGCTTCGTCAGAAATAAAAACTTTTTGCTACCCTTCAGACCAAACCACCATGAACTTCTTGTGGTCGTGATTCATACAGTGACTCACCTATCAGATCGTTTAGTCCCGTTACACAGCCGAGACACAACAAGCAGAGTGTACAGATATTGAGAAGTGAAGCTTTGTCATCTTTAGGTTTAACTGACTAACCTAGTGTTGAAGTTAAAGGGATAAAACCACACTGTCGACATACTCAACAGCACACACGTTGAGCTCGTCCCGATAACTTACTCTGGACAATACCCAGCTGATAAAGTTGTTGCTTACTACGAGTGTGTTGTTAACTAGTTTACAGGGTTATATATCTATGACTATCACAAACAGGCAACCCGTGTCTTCAACTACTACAGCGGCTAGCCAGCGAGCTACAAGCTAACGTCAATCGAGAAAAGTAGTTAGCCAGCTAGCATTAGTTCACCAGCGTTAATGTACTTTTACATACCTTTTTCCTGGTTAAAGGATATTATTTCCTCCTCCTTCGGGTTGGAAACTTGGGTTATGATGGACATGTGGTCCATTTAGGCGGGTGGTTATTCCTGTTTCGTTTCCCACAATGTTACTCGTACTATCGCGCTTGCTCCGTCTGCTAGCTCCTGTTAGCTCTCTGTTCAAGATGAGGATGGCGGCCGTCCGAGGAGACGTGTTGTGGCAGCGGTGGTAGCCAGCCAGCTAGCGCGGTGCTGAATGGACGCCAGTGGATGGCTGTCATTTACGGCTCTCCGCAAAATATCATCGCTGCACACGAGTATCTTTGTGAGCAACCACGACAGCGACCGCGGATAAGAAAACCTAAAACAAGCGACGGTGAATTGCTAACTAGCCGAAGTTAGCAGGTAGCTTGGGTTAGCGGGTTAGCTGAGAGGCTCCGATCATCCGAAACGTGAGGCCGAGTCTGGAACAGCGCTGAAAACACTAGGAAGCCCGTCGGGGGGTTGTTCTTATCCAAAAACATGCACCAAACGCAAGTTGTTCAACGTTAAAGTTAGCTAACACTTTAATGCAAACAGTTCATATCTGCTGGCCCGACATTCCCTGTGCAACATGGAGGCTTTATGTATTTTGAGTTGATCTGAAGCGGGGGCACACGGAGTGGGAGTGGGAGGGGGCGGCTTGTGTCTGTGATGGATTCTCTCCGGCAGCCAGCGCAAACTCAGCCGCAACACATTGCTCAACCTCATGCAGCTGGCCTTTCCTCTGTAACTACTGCTGGGCACACGCAACAAATTATAGCTCTTTATTATTATTATTATTATTATTATTATTATTATTATAAGCATAAAATCATAATGCATTCAAAACATAATACAGTTGGTGTACTGAATATGGCGATGCCTAGCGAGTGCTTTAACCCGCTCCTGAGCAAACAACAGCCCGTCAAACAATCCAAGCAAATAGTTGACGGTAATCCAAAACCCTTAGGTGTGTATGCTTGTGTGTGTGTGTAATTTTAACAGGTCGAGAGCGCCACCTCGTGTCTAATTTAGGGAAATGCTTCGAGGATACCAGGCTGCACTCATAATGTAAAAATACCGTACACGCACAGTGCCTGTATTGGTATTTGATCACATCAGTCTAGTACCGGGTTTGGAGCAGATTTATAGTTTCTAGCCAGATGTCTGTGTTTATTTTGTGTTTGTGTGCCTGAAGATAGAGAGTGAGGCCACCTGGTATCTACACTATAGGCTGGTAAGATGGTATTTTCTCACAGAGCTGCTTTTAATTAAGCACTTCAGAAACATGTCACTTTATGATGGGAAACGTGTGACAGAAAACGATGGGAAATCACCACCTTCCTCGGGTATTTTATAATGTGGTAGCCTGTTCTGGCACCACAGAGCCAAGAGGATATAAAGACACTATAAGTCATTTTTGAGCGTGTGGTATCTCCCTATGCCTTCTCCTCAAGCCCAATCAGTCATATGTTTGACTGGAGAACCATCAGAGGTTTGCTGGTGTGTCCCTCGGATAATGTATGGTGTGCTGTACATGCTGCTATTGATTGATGCAACTGATTTCCTCCTCATTTTGAACCATTGTCCCGGAGTGTTTTTGGCGCTCCAGTAAGGTCTGATGGGCTCGTTGTGGACCACCCCTCACTGCGGTGCAGTAGTGAAGGATAAATATATCCCCCTCCACCTCCTCCTCCTTCCGTTGAATCCGCAACATCCCGACTGGCCGAGGCTGGTGATCGCAGGCAGCGGCAGCGGCAAGCCCCCACAAGACGGATGAATTAGAAAAGCTGCAGTAACCACCGCCACCCCCTTTTCTTTTATTTATTTAGTGAAGAGTCGGTCTGTAAACACTGCTGCCCTCATCTTGACAGTGTGAAGCGGATACAAGGTTAGTAAAAACAAGTCTGGTTTTTTTTGTACATAGGGTTAAATATAAGACAAATCAGTTCAAAAGGCCTGTGTGTGACCGGCTCTGTGTGCATGAAGCAGTGAAACAGTAAACCCTCAATTTGTATGCAGGACGCTTTGCTGGGGTCCTGCTTAGCCATGGTTACACTTTGGCATGGACGGGACTTGTTAGTGCAACTCCTTTAACTTCAACTCCAGAGTGCGCGACATGAGCCTGGCACACACACACACACACACACACACACTCACACACTAACACACCCACGCACACTCAACCAGGTACAAGTGCGTTATTCTCCACTGGAAAGTAAGTCTGTCTGTTTTCTTAACTCCGATGCACCATTCTCGGTCATTCCACTCAGTGCTAATTATTCTGTGAAGTGAGTCCCCAGCGCCCCTCAGATCACATAGCACTGCAGCTGCCCTGCTGTACAGCAGACCAACTGCAAGAGCTATAATAGGAAGGAGAGGTAGGGTTGCGCAGCTGACGATGCTGATTCCGAGGAGCTAGAGCTCTGCAGTCCTATTTAAGTCACTGCCCTGTCGATCCTAAAGGCTTATTTGTAAAATTCCACCTCTTTAAAAAAAACTCCTCTGTATCTGGCACGAAGAACATGTGCTGATTGGTGTTCAGGGTATATTACTTTAGCCTCCATAATGTTTCTATATGTATGCATATATTTTTTAGTAGATGCATTATATTGTGATTGCATTTGAAATGGTTGAGTGTTGCCAGGGAATCCACATTCCACCTGATAAACTGAACAATCGATGTATACAAGCTTCAGATTCTTTAATGTGGTGTTGTGCTCTTAGTCCACTTAAGATGTATTAGTCACATTTGTATGGTACAGCCCACACAGTATTAGCAAGACAAAGCTGTCAAAGATCGCTGTCACACTGTGTCAGATGTGACTAAAAAACATTTTCTTCACAAATGGCATCTGAACATCACCCACAAAACACTGCTTCAATAAACCTTGGTAACCTTTTAAACCATCTGATTTTACACTATCATCGATTACTGGTGTCAGATGTGGCTGTTTTTTTTTCTTCACACTCTGTTTGCCTTCAGTCAGGCCTAATATTGTGTGGCTGACTGCTTTTCAACCTGTTAGGCTTCCAGTGTGCAGATTCACCATGGGGATCAAGGCTGCCCTCCCCAGATATGAGCTGTATCTCTACACAGCTGTACTCGGCGTGGCCTTGATATGGGCAGGCAGTTGGATATTTGAAGCTTCAAGTGGTGAGTGCACGACATGTCAATGAGATGTCCTAAGCACATACAGTACAGAGAGTTGAGAACCAATAACACCATGTTAAAGCATACTAAAGTTCACTTCCATCCATTCATATTTATTGAAGTCAGAGCGAGTGGACACTTTTCGAGCAGCTGCTCCAGAGCCATACCAACTTATGAGTAAAGAATCATTCCAGTCAACACTTCCAGTCCAAATAAATCTCACTGAACAATCACTTACCATGTAACAATGGGAAAAATTCACTTTAAAAAACAGCACCCCTACCTATGGTACTGCTCTATTAAAATTAAAATGCGTAGAACAAAGTTAATTTAGAAGATTAAAAGAGTCCCCCTCCCCTAAGGAATTCCTGCATGTTCCTATTAATATGAAGACAATTTAAAGATGCTCTAATTACGTTTGTAATTATTTTCCTGATGGCACTAGTTCAGACTCCCAAACCTTAAATCCTGAAATGCTCCCAAATGTTTCACACAACAAAACACTTAAACTATCCTCTCCCACACTGATCTGAATGGACTGAGTGTAATCTGGTGAGTGGTACTGTCTGTCACCGTCTGCACAGTCAGGCCAGAGTCATGTTGTTAGTTATCATTTTGTCCTGATTCTCTTTCTTTATCACATACTCTCTGACTCTTGAACTGCTCCATCTGTGGGCATTTGTACTGCTCAGGTCTGAATGCTACAGTAGCACTGTACACTTGTAATAGAATCCTGGCTGTGTTCCCAGAAGTAAGAGGCTTTCCCTGACCGACCCTCACATTTTGATATCCTTTTTCATGGCCATTAGTGTAATCAGGCAAAGCCATAGGAGCTACTGTGGGGGCACCTGCCAATCACTTTTGTTGCTGTTTACTGAATGTTTCAACACCACTGCTATTATTATGACTATTATCACACTTGTTCCTATTGTTATTTTCAGCATTTCTGTGTTTCATTCAGGGTATGCAGTGAACTAATCTCCTACAACCAGATTATGACTGTATGAGTGTAGATGTCAGCCTCAAAAATAGAAAAGCTTCGCAATGAGTACATTATGTAATATCTGATGTTATCAAATGGACTCAATGCGCACTCACACCTTAAATTCACTGTGAATAATCCGATAATTACACCAAAGCTGCTCAAATATTTTACTCCTACATTCTCAGAATTTTTATTTTAGCTCACATAGACCCCAAAAATAAAGCTGCCTTAAGTCTGGATTTAGCCCTCCTCAACCTAGAAGAATTACCATATATTGCCATGAGTTTTTTTACCTCTTCATTTTGTTTAGTGAATATCTTGTATGTTTTCTTCTTTATTCAGAGAATATAAACAGAAAGGCCTTCAAAGAAAGTGTGAAACCAGGATGGCATTACTTTGGCAGGAAAATGGTAAATTCCTCGTATATAATCCCAAAGTCATTGTTTTCTGTAATTGGATTTACTGATGCAAGATGTCAAAAGAGAGTGGTTGTCATGTGTTATTAATGCGTCCTCCATTTCCACAGGATGTTGCGGACTTCGAATGGATGATGTGGTTCTCTACATTCCGCAATCATATCCTTTTTGCTCTCACCGGTCATGTTATCTTTGCCAAGATATTCACCCTGCTAGCTCCAAAGGTGTGTGCATGTGTGTGAATGTCCATCAGCTAGCACTAATTACATACAGGTAGAATGGCATGTCTTGTATTATCTGTATCTGTATCTGTGTATTGTATATATATACTGTACCTGTGTGTGTGTGTTTGTGTTGGCACTTGTGAATGAACACAAGCTTTTCTCCAGTCACGACTGTACATGAGATATTATTATTTATTTGATATGTGATATAAACACATTAAATGCAAAGCCATATTGTGCTGATGTGAACATTTTGGCCTTGGGCTGTACAAGTAACTCAATTCAATGCAATTTTATTCTATCCTATTCTATTGAGCAAAAATAATTTGTCATCCTGTATATTTGTACCCCAAGGTCTAACATATTATTAACTTCATGCATGAGCCTGAGTTGCATTGTGTAAGACTGTGACACTGTCTGTTGAGTGTGCCAATGATTCTTTGCTGTGAATATGTTGACATTTTTAAAACAGTTCAATATGTTTTAAACATGTTTTCTGTCTTGTTTCATGTTTACAATGAAGATTGGTATAGATGGAAGTAAGGTAACATTAATAAACTTGTCAATTTTATAACATTTGTCATGCGTTTCATTTAAACTATTGATACATGGACAATAGTTTTGTTTTTTCTCCACAATTTAATCTTTCCATTCTAAGGTAATAAGATACAGCAGTGTTATTGTACTAACACCACTCGTGTGTTGCATTAAATTATGAATAGTATTAAAGTCCTGCCTTGACGTCACACTGACACTGGTCACTCTTTACCCACAGCACAGATCCTTGATCTTTGGTGTGTACGGCGGTTTGGCAGTCCTGGTCACGATGGGCTGGACCTTCATGGCTCTGGTTCTGTCTCACTGCATCATACTCTA